TCTCCTTTTTGTGTGAACTGTTCTTTTAAAGGGGTCATATGATGTTGCTAAAAAGAACATTATTTTGTGTATTTGGTGTAATGAAATGTGTTTATGCGGTTTAAGGTTAAAAAAACACATTATTTTCCACATACTGTACATTATTGTTTCTCCTCTATGCCCCGCCTTTCTGAAACATGTCGATTTTTACAAAGCTCATCAGTCTGAAAAGCGAGGTGTGCTCTGATTGGCCAGCTATCCAGTGCATTGTGATTGGCTGAATACCTCAAGTGTGTGACGGAAATGTTATACCCCTTACCATGTTGTGATGCCTGCGGCAACCACATGTGACGACCCCGGGCTGGACTCTGCTTCGTCCACGGTGAAAGCCGATTCAATACTACAGCGAGAATAAAAGTTACGTCTTCTTTCTTTGCGTGAACATTTGGGCGGTGTTATGCAAATCTTCCCACACAGTGATGTAGACGTGGGGGCGTGTTAGAACGAGCCGTTTTAGGTAGGCGTGGCTGACTCTTAACTTTTATAAAGAATATCTCTTTGGATTTGAGACTTTAGTCTTTGCAACTTTACAGATCTTCTTTATGCACCAAGAGCTTGTAACACTTCAAAGAGAAAGAAAAACTTGAAATCGCATCATATGACCCCTTTAAGAAAGCAAAGGTCTGGCACCTTGGCATGATCCTGGTGAAGGCTGAGCACAGGTTTGGTATCCAGCTCTTTCTTTTCCATCATCAGCTGAAGCATCTGTTTTCGGTATCGGCCCATGATCAGCTCTAAAGCGTACTGGTGCTCCTCCAGAGAGAGGCAGAGCTCTGTGAACAGCACAAAGAGTTGAATCAGGGATTCCCTTTAAAAAATGCAAGACACTTTGAAGAAACTCGTGCCGTCTTGCCTCTGTTCTCGTGCTGGAGATCTTTGATTTGAGTGTTCTCCTGGGTCAGCAGGACGTGAGGTTTGTGTCTGGACAGCTCCTGATACTCTTTGCTTTCCTCTATGTACTAAATACAGGAAAAAAAGAAATTCATAATGGGTAGTTATTGGTTATTCTTCATTTATTAGTTATTAGAGACAATTACTGAAATAAATGAACTTTTCCACGACATTCTCATTTATTGAGATGCACCTGTATAGGGTTCTAGCGCTGCAACAACTACATTGACAACAAATTTGATTATCAATTCATTCAGGCCATCTATAGATTTAAAAACAAAAATCTGATTAATCAATGAAATAATCATTCGATTAATCGATTATCAAAATAATAGTTAGGGCTGCAACAACTAATCAATAAAAGGAACAATAATCAAGAATGAAAGTAATTGATAAGAAAATATGATAGATTAATTAAAAAACATTACACACACACATATATATGAATATACATGAATATATAAACAATATCAGATTATTTAAAGAAATAAACAACAGATTAACCAATAATTAAAATAATTGTTAGTTGCAAGTTTCTCAAATTTAAACATAATTTTTTACATTTATTATTATAATAAAATTTAATTCAGTCCAAAATGCAGCACAATGCAAAAAATATTAATAAATATTCTTCATAAAATTCAACCGTCACGCTTGTATATTATCATGCTTTTATTCTAAACTCCACTTTTCAAAAAAAAATTTAAAAGACAGCTTTAATGTTCATGACAATACTATAGATTTATAATATCAGGCATACTATTAGTTATCAGCATTAACACAAAATAAATATCAACAGCCAAATTTTAATATTGCACTGCATTCCAAGCTGCTATCCATAAGTTCAGACCTCTGAGGTTTACACTGCAAAAAAAATTGTTTTTACTTTGTGTCTGTTTTTTTTCTTATTATTTAATCAAGATATATTTACAAAAGAAAGAAAATAACTTTAGATATAAGACATAAGAACATGTCTTGTGTTCAAAAAATGTTATCAAAATTATGCGTTTATGTTAAAACAAGAAAAATAGATGGTAGTCAACCTTCAATGGAGTAATCCCCTTTGAATTAAGTTTATTTTTCTTACCCTGTTGAGACAGATTTTTTTTTGTCTTGTTTAAACATTCACTTGATTTTTTTTTTTTTTTAAGTAAATGTTTTGTGATTTAGGAATATTTATATTTATAAATATATATATATGTGTTCAGGAAAACAAGACAAAAATACGGAGTAAACCGATGATTTTTTTTTTTTTGCAGTGTAGTGTCTTGATCGAGGGCAAAACAGTGACAGTAATGAAACTATCTACCCATCCGACCTACAGCCTTTGGTTCATCAGTCCAGATCTTACACACCTAAACCCAGAGGCGGACAGTAACTAAGTACATTTACTTGAGTATTGTACTTAAGTACACTTTCTGAGTATCTGTACTTTACTTGAGTATTATGTTTTCTGGAAGCTTATGACTTCACTACATTTGAAAGACAAATATTGTACTTTTCACACCACTACATTTCTATCAAGATCCTCGAAGTAGAAAGTCGTTAGCAGCTTTGAAAATCAGTGGGTGATTTGTTTCTTCAGACAGTTTATCAGTAATCACTCTTGTAGGGCTACATGAAGAGATTTCCCAGCATTTTTTTTTAGCACTGACCAGTTCCAAATGTGATACTTATTTACAACAACTCAATAAGAAGAAGTTAATATTGTGGTTTATATTAGACACAATATTGTCTGATTTTGCTAAATTGTGTAGGTGAAAATATTACCTATAAAGCCACAGAAGAACTGTTGCGCGTCTCCTAATAAAACACAAGTACCACGAGAGCGATTAGACAGCATTTTTTAATTTTTTATTTTGATGTCAAATAAGTCTTGCTGTTTAGATTTTTTGTTAAAGCAGTGTTGCTGTTGTAAAGTTATACAGCTACAGTTGTGCTGCTGGGTTTTAAAGCAGGTTTGATTTTCTTCCTTATCACTCTGTATTTACAGGATTTCTCTGTCCACTCTGTTCAAATGTGGATGAATGGCTACACATAGATGTGTCCAGAGCTGTGTAAGATCACTACCATCCTGCTTTTGTGGGGGTGTTAAATAATTTTTTATTCCCCCCCCTATAGGTTTCTAACATTCTAAAAGCTCTTTATTCCAAAGATACTACAAACTAGTCAGTGTATTCAGTAGGTGTAATGTATTTTTAAGTTGCTTCAAAGGTATTGCAAGTATTATATACAACAGTGCATTGACACAAAAAAGGAAATTTACTTTTGGTACTTAAGTACTTTTAAAATCAAGTACTTCTGTACTTTTACTCAAGTAATGGAGTTGTGTACTTTGTCCGCCTCTGCATAAACCCCATACTGTGCAACAATAAATGGCTCATATTGTGCAATGTACATGCAATAGCACATGCACACAACTGTAATCTGTGCCGTGCATGCTCTTAGAGGTCATGTGTGTGCTCAGTAAGAGATGTCATAGCATGCCTTGTCAGGAAGAGTGTTTCCGACCTCCTTCATGCTGTGGATCTTCTGGCCGAGGACGCTCGACTGCTCGATGAGAGTCTCCGCGGCAGTGTCGTGCTCCTTCAGCCGCTCCAGCAGCGTCCGCGCGTCGCCCAGCACCTTCTCCAGCGAGCACATCTCCACCGGCTTCAGTTAACAAACACCTCCACAAACACTCACACTGCGCCGCTGCCCTGACCCAGCCTGATGCACAAGTCCAATTAGAAAGATGTTGAGATATATTACATATTGACTGCCTTATATCAATCACTAAATACTAATCTAGTAAGGCAATCGATTAAGGAAAGCTGTCAACTAAGTAAAATAACTTCCTGTACTAGTCAAATACGTCAACTCTTTCGAATTCCTTGCACGTCCGGAAATGTATTTTCAAAATAAAAGCCCTGTAAAAAAAATAATAATAAAACAATAAAAGTACTCGAATTCATTTTTAAATGTTTCTTTTCCAAACAAATGATACGTTATCTTTTGTCAAATTATTATTGTATTATATAATAAAAAATATAGTATATTCATTTGTTATATTATCTAATATTTTAGCAGCTTTAAATTCACATACGTTAACGTGTTTACACCTCTCTGTTGAAATGTTCTACAAATATCTTTTCACAAGTTGATGATATGCTGTCGTTCTCTTACGTCTGTTTGCATTAATAAAATAAAAAAGCTTACATAAGTTGTCTCTGCATAATAACATGGTATAGAAGAAAGTAGTTTAAACATCTAACAAATGACACACTTCACCTTTATTTGCAAAAAAAAAAAAAAAAAGTCGTTTAGGTAAACATAAAAGTACTCAAATTATTTTAAATTGATAAAAAATTGAAATCATAAAATGTATACACACACACTACTTGACCCTCTAACTAACACTAGCATTTCTATTTCTATTCTACTTGTTTTCTTTTTGTTTATTAGAAAAAATGACCCTCTAACACTAGCGTTCTCTGTATACTTGTTACATTTTTATTATTTATTAAAAATGAAAAACATGTACATGCACTGCGTTAGACTAACTGGGACTATTTACAGTACTCTATTGCTCTTTTGTTGGTTTTGATTGCTGTATGTTTGCTGTATGATGTACACACACACACACACACACACATATATATATATATATTAATTCCGCAGGTACTATTACAGGTATTAATAGTACCTGTATATTTTAAATGCAATTCATTAATTTAATATATATATTAAAAATTATAGAACAAAGTGTACATTTCGGGTTGAATTATCCTACAAATAGCTTATGCATATTTGTCTCTGCATAAAAAGATGGGACAGAATAAAGTATATCAATATCTAACTAACGACACACTTCATCTCTAACTATATATGCTTTGTTACAGTAATAATAACCCTATGGTGGACTGTAATTAAAATGTTGCATTATCTTGCAATGACTGTAAAATAAACATGAAGCCCTTTCAAACGTGTCAGTAGTGTAGAAAACACCATGATGCATCAGCATGGGAAACTTTCCTTAACGTGTTGCATAAATCACAGCAAATTCATAATACATAAAGCGTACATTAACAGAGCCATGCAGAATGTGAAAGGAACCGTGTCCTCATGTAAACTATTACTGTAACATCCAAATTCATGGTAAGGTATAATAAAAGTAAAGCAGTAAGATGAGAACATTTGGTCTGATTTGAATAGCATTTGGTTCTATATATTCAAAACTGGTCTGTGAGTTGGTCTTTTTATGGCATTGCATTTGTTTATAGCAGCTGATAATCTCACACAGTCACCATGAAGGCATTTAGGTCCTTGCGTTTGAGGTCAGGCACTTTGGCGTCAGATGTAGGGTAGCCAACAGGAAGCAGCATTAGAAGCTTCTCATTGGCCGGTCGCTGGAGGATGGACCTGAGCTGTGGGCTGCAGTTCAGAGGAGTGGTCGTCACGGTAACCAGCCCCACATTCTAACACAAAAAATGTGAACAATGCAGAGAACAATGGAATATTACACGTCATTCAAATCAATCATAAGATCCACATTTTTTTAAACAGATGTTTGCTTTGTGTGTTTTGCATCTGACCTGCAGAGCAGCCAGCAGAATGCCGCAGGAAATGGACACGCAGAAGTCCACATGTCTGCTTAAACACTAGAATCAGATCCGGAGCCACATCCAAATACTCCTTCACCCAGTTTGTCCTGTGAAAGATACGTTTAAGTCTAAGTAAGTGCATTCTAAAGTCATATCAATTCTTAAAATGAAATGAGTTATAATAGAACTCAAATGGAAGAAACTGAGGGGCTCTAGTAACACAGGAGTTTATGAAAACATTGTACACATGTAATAATTATATTAAGTATCAAATATAACATCCATATTTATCTGTAAATCCTACCAAAAATCCCATCAATAAATAATATTGATAAAACTATGTAATAATAATCAATTATATATTACAGTGTATAGTATTATCAATGCTATTTAATTTGATAATTATTTAAATTACATAAATATTACTATTTCAAAACAATATGTTTATTATATTACTGTATATAGTATTACAACAACAACAACAACGACGACAGTAATAATATTTCTTATAATATTATAATGAAATTACTTTGTATAGCATTATAATAATAATAATACCATCATATCATTATTATTATATTACAGTTTATTATATTATACATATTATTATTTTTATACATATTATTAAATGATTGTGTATTCTATTTGACCTATAATATAATATTCAATAATAATTATTATTTTTTACAATAATAATTAGTTTTATAATTTATTATAGTTATATTATTATTATTGGCATCTGTTTGAAACAAGGTTATCCACTGTAAAAAAAAGTTAAAAAAATAAAATGGAAAAAATGTAACCACAAGGGGGCACTAATATCATAGCTAAATGCATTTTAGTCAACACATTATTATGATAACATAACATATTCTTATTATTATGAGTCTCAATAACATACTCATATTATTATTATGAGTCTGCAATTGTTATATTAAATTTTTAACACATAATACTAGTACATACAGAGCTCTACGGATACTTTTCTTTTTAGGAGCGCTTGTGCTTTAGGAGCACGGTCAAAAATTTAGGAGCACCTTCTAATCAGTAATCAAAAATTCTGATAAAAAAATGAACCTTCCCATTACGAGGTGATATTTGACTCCTTAAAGGGATTTATGGGGAATTTTGTTTTTACCTTTGTAAGGGCATTTTCCTAACTTTATTAAAAGTATGTCATCTCTTATGTCAAAATCAAAAAAAAATATTTATAAGCGTTTTAACATTTCTAATTAAAGCAACAGAATAAAAACAAGTAGAATAAGAATAAGTTACCAATCAAATGAAATCAGTATTTTCAGAGATGGCACAGAAGAACACACAAGTGGCTTGTATGTGTATTTTCAGACGTTTAATGAGGCTCAGAGGTCGCATGAGTGCAATTAAATTCATAAATTCATGTTGAGGTTAATGTTTTAAATATAACATTTTGAATACAGAAATGATTTGAATAACAGAAAAGATGCTTTAAAAATTTAACTAAAACTGCCAGCAGCTGGCGTCAAGTCACTGATTTTATCACCGAATCATTCATTCAATTGATTCGTTCATACAGCTGAATCATTCAGGAACGAAGTGCGTGACTGTCTTTATGAATGGGTAATTGAATCATTGACTCACTAGATTCGTTTAAACACGCAGTTCATTCATAAACGAATCACCGCTGTGTTTGAATGGAGATGTGCAGCGGCTCAGCTGTTACTTAAAAAAAAAAAACTATTTTCGTTGATGAAATAGAGCAGAATAAGGCAAGTGTGTTGTTGTCAGACAATATCAGTCACTTAATATTAACTTCTTGTTTAATGAACTGTTGTATTAAATCAATATCACATTTGCAACTCCCTTAATAATCATTAAAAGCTGTCACTCATCTTAGTTTATCCTGATCTCACAAACTCCATTATAATCGACGAAGCTCTCTACACTGCACAATGAATCTCTTATTTACACCCCGTCAACACTGTGTTTGTTATAATGAGAGGATATGTCTGTGATGCATTACTCAACGTTAGAACCTTTGAAGCTCCTTCAGCGCAAACACAAATAGCCTATGCTGATCAGGTCAGTCGCACAGGTGCTCCTAAATATTATTTCATAGTCGCACACAGCAGCTTCCAATGGTCGCACTGTAGAGCCCTGACATAGTAATAGTACAGTAATAAAAAACGAATACATATTATGCATACAACTATATATTATGTAGTCTCTTGTCTATTTGAAACACAACTCAGTTTCTTCAGGTCATGGACCCACTTGTCTCCCATCCTTTGCTTGTAGTTTATTTCCTCCTCCTCCTCAATGATCCCTCTGATCTTGTGTTTGACATCTGCATCAGACACCACCACAAACGTCCAGGGCTTTTGTGTCCTCATAAACCACATAAACATGCACACACATACACACACGCACGCACACACGCACACACACACAGACACACACACACACACACACACACGCACATTGGGATTTGCCACCTCTGCCAAATCAGACAACAAATTCAGCCCTGATTGTGATTGCATTACCTGCAGTGCGTGTGACATTGTCAATCACTTCTTTTGGTACTGGTTTTGGACTGATGAAGCAGACAGACCGTCTAAGATTCATGAGCGAGTAGAACTTCTCAGAACGTTCCAGCGTCTCATTAGCAGAGTACTGAGCTGGGGTGTATGGAATATGGGGTAGGTTTTCTTCCTCTGTTGTGTCTAGCCAATCACCCTCCTCCTCCTCTGTGCACAGACAATCGATTGAGTCACCAACACCAATAAACAGAAACACAATTTCACATCGGGACATGTCTCATGTCTTTAAAGGAATAGTTTACTGGATTAAAGGAATAGTTTCAGTGGATTCTCTGCAGTGAATGGGTGCCGTCAGAATGAGTTTTTAATCAGCTGTTTGGACTCTCATTCTGACGGCACCCATTCACTGCAGAGGATCCATTGGCGAGCAAGTGATGTAATGCTACATTCCAATTATTTGCGTGTTTGTGTGCCCGATAACCGATATGCAGAACCGATATTTATTTACTGTTATAAAGTAAATAAATGACTGAGTGAAGTAAGTCCATACTTCACTTTGGTTTTTCCTCCTTTCAGCCATCTTAAAAAAAAAAAGTGTTGAAAATGACCAGTCTTTCATGTTAAATTTAATCTTCATATTACAATAAAAAAACATTTTAAATCAAAATAAATGTAGAAGGTCTAATGTTTTCAAATGGAGAAATATCATTATATATATATATATATATATAATAGGCCAGTGTGTGTATCCCTTATTCTGTCCCTTATTTTAATATGAAAACCACGATTGTCCCTTATTTTCCTTTTCTGAAGGAGTGTAGTGGTGGAGAGTATCGTTGTGTTTACTGCTGATTTCTGTATCATCCTGCAGATCCTCGTCCACCCACGGTCTGGCTGTCTGATCTGAACGCTCCTGCTTTGATCTGGTCTGTCTCCTCTGGGAGTTTTTGAAGAGAAGCCCGATAATCACACACAAAACCGCCACGAACACTGGAGTAAGAGACGAAAACACCGCCATGAGCAGCAACATTAATATTAACAATAAGCAAAATAAATGTAGAAGGTCTAATGTTTTCAAATGGAGAAATATCATTATATATATATATATATATATAATAGGCCAGTGTGTGTATCCCTTATTCTGTCCCTTATTTTAATATGAAAACCACGATTGTCCCTTATTTTCCTTTTCTGAAGGAGTGTAGTGGTGGAGAGTATCGTTGTGTTTACTGCTGATTTCTGTATCATCCTGCAGATCCTCGTCCACCCACGGTCTGGCTGTCTGATCTGAACGCTCCTGCTTTGATCTGGTCTCTCTCATAAACCACATAAACATGCACACACATACACACACGCACGCACACACGCACACACACACAGACACACACACACACACACACACACACACACGCACATTGGGATTTGCCACCTCTGCCAAATCAGACAACAAATTCAGCCCTGATTGTGATTGCATTACCTGCAGTGCGTGTGACATTGTCAATCACTTCTTTTGGTACTGGTTTTGGACTGATGAAGCAGACAGACCGTCTAAGATTCATGAGCGAGTAGAACTTCTCAGAACGTTCCAGCGTCTCATTAGCAGAGTACTGAGCTGGGGTGTATGGAATATGGGGTAGGTTTTCTTCCTCTGTTGTGTCTAGCCAATCACCCTCCTCCTCCTCTGTGCACAGACAATCGATTGAGTCACCAACACCAATAAACAGAAACACAATTTCACATCGGGACATGTCTCATGTCTTTAAAGGAATAGTTTACTGGATTAAAGGAATAGTTTCAGTGGATTCTCTGCAGTGAATGGGTGCCGTCAGAATGAGTTTTTAATCAGCTGTTTGGACTCTCATTCTGACGGCACCCATTCACTGCAGAGGATCCATTGGCGAGCAAGTGATGTAATGCTACATTCCAATTATTTGCGTGTTTGTGTGCCCGATAACCGATATGCAGAACCGATATTTATTTACTGTTATAAAGTAAATAAATGACTGAGTGAAGTAAGTCCATACTTCACTTTGGTTTTTCCTCCTTTCAGCCATCTTAAAAAAAAAAAAGTGTTGAAAATGACCAGTCTTTCATGTTAAATTTAATCTTCATATTACAATAAAAAAACATTTTATTTAAAGCATTAGCAGCAACATTAATATTAACAATAAGCAAAATAAATGTAGAAGGTCTAATGTTTTCAAATGGAGAAATATCATTATATATATATATATATATATAATAGGCCAGTGTGTGTATCCCTTATTCTGTCCCTTATTTTAATATGAAAACCACGATTGTCCCTTATTTTCCTTTTCTGAAGGAGTGTAGTGGTGGAGAGTATCGTTGTGTTTACTGCTGATTTCTGTATCATCCTGCAGATCCTCGTCCACCCACGGTCTGGCTGTCTGATCTGAACGCTCCTGCTTTGATCTGGTCTGTCTCCTCTGGGAGTTTTTGAAGAGAAGCCCGATAATCACACACAAAACCGCCACGAACACTGGAGTAAGAGACGAAAACACCGCCATGATGAACGAGTGAAGTCTGAAGAAGGAGTTTCACTCAAGTTCACTCAAAGGGGAGGGACTCACTTTCTTCTGTTAATATTAAACAGCTCCCAGGGAACATACACACACACACACTATTGCACGATTTGATTATCACACACAATAGTCATTCATTTATCTGTAATACTTTTAATAATTATAAACTTAGTTTAGAATGATCAATTATTTAATATAGTTTTAATATTAATAATAATTTAATAATTAATAAAAATAAATATAATATTCATTCTGCACGTTATATCGATGCGTCGTCAGTAGTTGGCGACAAGTGACGGTCTTTATGAATGAGTCATTGAATCATTCATTCAACTGATTCATTCAAAGACGTGAGTCCGTCAGGAACAAACAAGTGAAGTCTTTTTATGATTCAGCCGTTGAATAAATGAACAACGATTGGATTCTTTAGTGAAACGGACAAAGTAACAATATCTTTGTAAGTTACTTGATATGAACTTCTTGTTTATTGAACTGTTGTATAAAACTAAAAGCAATATCATGCCCGTCGATATATATCGAGATAATTTCGATATGAGCTGTGATTAACAGTTCCCTTTCATGGGAACTTCGAACTGCGTCCTCTAGGGGTCGCTATGGGGAACGCCTCGTCGTGACCCGTGTCTGAAGCATACATTGAAAAAACACCAACAACACGTTGGCCGGTGACAGCCATGACTTCACTACCGGTGTGACTATAGTATAAATAGGCGCCGGGAGCACACATCTTTTTCTTCTTCGTCTTCATTGACTGTTTTGTTTGAAGCGTGCATTTCTGTGGTAAGAGCGATCTCTATTTATCTCATTATGGCGAGCACTAGCAAAGCTTCTCGCGATCGTCGGCTGTGGATGAGAGTGAGCCGCTGGAGGATGATGTCATTTCATTAACATTGTCTGATCCAGGGGCCAGTGCTCTGCTGGAAAGCAGGAAAATGTCTGAGGAGGACAAAAAGCTGAGGCTGAGCTTTCCCAATTCTCCTGCCCTGCGTATGATGAGCTTTTGAAAGTCATGGATCACGCCACGGCGAGGCTTTACTTGCCGTGAAGTGGGTGAAGAAAATGACATCGTGAGGTCATCTATTTAAAAAAAAAAATTTACGTTATTTTTCTGGCCATAACCCTCCCACTCCGTCCACCTGACCGAGGTTAGGTGGGAATTTCCTGCATTACAGTCTCCTATGCTGGACCTATGATGTTTTGTTGGTTCTATGGCTTCATAGTGACCACCTTACTGATGGTCCGGACTAGAGGCTTCTTCGGACAGGGCTCCGACGCAGGAACCATGGTGTGTGAGTACGATCCATGAAAAAAAAAGTGTATAATCCTTCTGCTAGCTTCCTTTGCAGTGTTTCCCGGGACCTGTGTGTTTCTGTCCTTTTTCTAGGGTAGGTCCTCGATGAGCACCCCCTCTGCTGGGTTCAGAAACCGGGTGCTCGACTTGCAGTGTTATTTCACTCATTGATATATGTCCAGACGGTACGATAAGCCGGGTTTTGCCTTCATACTTCCTGGATTATGCGGCCAGATCACAGGCTTCTGCTGGAGCCTTCTTGATCATTAGGCCCCTGGCACGGCACTGCAAAGATTTCAGATTTCACTGCAATGCTTTGCCCACTTTTCTAAAATCCTGTATGGTAAGGGTTACGCGTTATTGATCTCGTTCCCTTTCTCTGAGTTGGTTTAGATATAGGCTGCCTTTTCAGGGTGCCACGAGAACCCCTAGAATGGTATTCAAGTGTGTGCACGTTATGCTTTGCCCACTTTTCTAAAATCCTGTACGGTAAGGGCTACGTGCATCTGCTTCGTGATCTTTCGGAGTGGTTTATAACCCCGGTTCCGCCTTGGGCACCACTCCTCCTATGTATCCTCTGGATACCTCCTTTAACAGGGTGTTGCTACTAGGGGTCTGTTGAGACAGTTCCTTCAGCACATACAAAGAGAAACGTGCGGTAGCTCCTGTGTGACAGGCCAAGACTAGTATGATTCTAGGCTCTTGGTCGTATTCCCTTAAAGGAATCTATTCCTGATTCCAAGTCTTGAGCTCTACCCCGGGCCCAGGAGTCTGGCCCTAACAGGTAAGTATTTTGGGGTATGTAGACAAGGCCTTTGGCCGTAGGGAATAACGTCACTGACAACCGTCTTAAAGTCCCAGAGGCAAATCTCATAGCAATATGGTAGAGTTGGTACTTAGTGCTCGCCATGGTTCTGGCTTGCACTCCCCTCAGCATGGTGGCGTGGGTATAACGTTCCCCATAGCGACCCCTAGAGGACACAGTTCGATGTTCGCATGAA